ATAAATAAAAATAAAAAGATAAAAGAGGGATATTAATTATCTCCCTTGTGTGCGGGTGCGGTCTCCCTCCGCAATTCGTCGGCTTCTCGCGTAAGTCAGCTGCTCTGTTATGGCGTCTGCTTCTCTTTTCTTCTCTGATAAGTGGCGGCTCCTTTTCATTCGTGAGGTCTGCCCGCTTTAAAGCTTGCGTGAAATAATTATTAGTTGCTGCCCAAGACTAAATAATTCCCTTGCCCCAAAGTCTGTGTTTCCTTTCGTGAGTTTTGCTGCCTATCAATCCTCCAATTTAGTTAATTGCCCAAAATTCCTTTAATCATTCTTGGCCCACTTTGGCTTTAATATTTGCTGCCCAATCATATTAACTCCTATCAGCCTTCTTACGGGAATTGTATGGGCTGGTATATGCATGGGCTTTATGGGCTCTGTTGGACATCTGAGTACGGGGTGCTGTTGGGTCAGTACGGGACACCCCCATACTCTGCTGTAAAACTTCTTCATCCTTCTTCGTGCATCCACACATCATCGTGCAATCAGAAATAGTCCCAAAAATGCTGAAAATAGATAATAAAATATCAAAGTACACGAATTCATCCAAATAATAAATAAGTCAAAAAATATAGATGTGCGAATAAATTAAGTGTATATGAATACACTGTTAAATATATAAAACGTGCACATTTTCCAACCAATCAAGTTCAAATCACTCCAAAAAACGAAGGTATTTCTTACTTGCACTCGATAAATAGGACTTCTCTTTTTATTATGTACATGATATATAGCATCTCTCTTTATTCATTTACTATGAACTGTACTACGACTCACTACACGAATGCTACTATTTTTATGATAAGTCACCAAAGTGTTTCACATAATTTTAATTTGTGCAAGTCATATTATACATTTCCCAATTTCTGTTCTACTTTTCTATGCATGCATTTGCTTTCTCCATGGTGAAGTCGCAGTTGTCCTATTCTGCAATTTCCTTTCTTTTTTTTCCTTGTAAAGAAATGAATATGACAGCCATTTTCACGATGATCTACGGATGACAGGTTTTGAGAGCTGGAAAATCTTCTTGAATTATTTAATTTTTTATTTACTGATTTTTTTTTTATTTATTTTTTTTCTGGAAAGAGTAATTATAATTGTGCAGAAGATGGTGTCACAATGAAGAAGTTTGTTAGTGCAACAAATCAGCAAACACGTTCTTCTCCTCGTCTCAAGCTTCTTCCTCGAACCCATTCCTAGACAAAGCTTCTTCCTCGAACACATTTCGGTCCTTGGCATATTAAGCGGGTAATTGTGACAGTCTCTATCTTTAAGGATGAAGAACATGGTTTATGTAAGAGTGTAAGAAACTAGCCTTTTGTATCTAGTGGAAAACAATCACATGACATAAATTTTCGATAATGTCAATATAACATGTCATGTATTATGAACTTACCAAAATTAATTAGCAAAACCAGCTCTATTACAGTAAGTAGTATATGTTCTTGCTATTTAGTACCCTGAAATCTCTAAATCATTCATTCTTTTTAGTTATTAGTAACCAAAAGAAAAAATGCCGAGGATAAAATGCTAGAAATACTATTACTAAATTAAAAGGATCATCAAGTTTCTTCCATGTTGGAGTATGGCTTACATGATACACAAGTGGACAGAAGCTGCGAGCCCAGTGGACTCAGATGGCAATGACTAATTAGTTTACTACATGATGGGCCCCTTAAGAATAATGGGCCGACCCAATATGGCCCAAATCAAGCTCCTTGACATCCCAAGAACTGGTGCCAGCTAATTACCACAAAAGCTCTTAAATACGATTAGGGATGTAATGGGAAAATTACATACATAGTCAACATGTCTATGAATATCTACATATATGTAACTCCTGCAAAACAATAATCAAAAGAGGATCAAAAAGTGATTTTAATCTCATTTGTAAGAGATTTTGATTTCTCTCTCTCTCTCTCTCTCTCTCTCTCTCTCTCTCTCTTCATATATTAATCATGACCAAAATTTCCACATGATAAACGGTTGATTCTCTCTCTTGATAAATCTGGATAACATATCTTTTATATGTAAAAAAAAACTCTTGATTTAAATCAAACGCTTTATTATATTTGTTTATTTAAAGCAAAACTTTTAATTGATTGTATTGTTTATATTTGCAGATATGTTCAGATCACTTAAAAGGGAGGGGACCCCGTGTGTTGATATGGCTGGACAGATTTTATAATTGGCGTGTTGAATTTATTGTATTTAAGAAAGTGCTTAACATGGAATAGAAACGAATTATTTATTCATGGGAGATTTATTTGTAAGGAATTTTCGTCCATCTATATCCATAGCTGAAATGAAATATTAATCCAAAATAAACTTAAAACACATAAATGAAATTTTTTTCCATACCAAATAGATGCCGCCACTATATACCATAAAAGGATTCATTAACTTTGCCAATAAAATATCATAAATTGGGATAATTCGATGCTGGTGGTGGGGCACTGCAGTCATGTGGGTGTGTGTACGTGTGTGTAAATCAAGGGTGGTGGGAGGCATGACTGCACTGCCCCCACCACCAACATCGATTTTCCCATAAATTGATAAATTATTTCTAGATTGAGTAGTGAGGAACTTTTTTAGGGAAATAGTTACTATTTAAGAAATAACCAAACATCTACATATATATAATAAGAATTACTATCATTTATCAAAATAGTAAGTCAATCCTTGGTCAAAACTAATAAGCATTAATTACATGTCATTTATAGTATCTTTTTAATATTTTTTTTTAAAATGTTAACCTTAAAATGAGGAATTTGTTACTTTTTTATTTTCAAAAAAGTTGGGCTTCTATTTAAATTTAGTTTATTGAATATTTGAGATTGTTTGACACGATGTGAATATCAAAAGCTGATAATGCATGAGCTGCATCAATTAAATTTGGTTATTGGTTACAAAAAGCTATTATTGAATTTGAATATAATTGTACGTCACGACTGCTAATTCAATTAAACATCGACCAACTATATTCTCCAAATTTAAAACCAGATATTCATCTAATACAATAGTTTTATTTGACATCTTTTTTATAATAAAAAAGTTACAACTGATTTAATAATAAAAAAAATTACGTGCTATTTTTTCTAACGAAAAAAATGTACTTTTGTAGTCTAAAAATATCGGAAAGTTTTTTTTCTATATAATCGGCTAATAGCCTAATACATATGTTTTCATTAGCAGGTTTTATTTAACATAACAAATTACGTCTGATTTAAGGGTAAAAATATTTTTTAAAAAAAATCATTTGTTTATTTCTTTTGAAAACATATTTCTAACCATCAAATCGAGCAGTTTCAATTAAAAAATAAAGATGCAGCTGATTCAATTGTTTTATTTGACAATTATTTATAATGAGAAATAATACACGACTTTAATTTTGAAACGATCAAAATTTTTATGGTCATTGTTTAAATCAGAGATCCAAAAAAAAAAGAATAATCTCCATACTTAAATTGCTTTACTTGTAAAACGTGATGTATACAATATTTAGATAGATTTATCACATATCATCCCCTAAATTAATGATTTTATTTATTTTTTAATTTTAAAATACAAAATCCTAAAGCTGCGGTTGATTTAATTATTAAACGATATTTTCCAATCATAGATTTGGGTTATCTTCGAATTCAAAATTTAAATTGTCGATATGTAGATATGAACATATTTAATACATATGATTAAGGATGGCAGCGGTTCGGGTTCGGATCGGATGGAACCTCAGGGCACCCAAAACCAAAACCCAAACTTAAAAACCAAAACCAAAACCAAAACTGTTTCGGGTGAAAATCCTTCACCAAAACCAAAACACGCGGATACCCAAAATCCAAACGGATACCCAAAAAACCAAAAATATTATAATAAAACACCAAAGACAACAACATAAAACATGATAACTGAGAGAGTAACAGGCAACCAGTCACAAATTAGCAAGTACCAACGTACAGTACAAGCCACAAAGGTAGTAGAGTACATAGCTAAGCCAAGCCATCACGGGAGACGGGGAGAGGATAAGAGGGAGAGTAAATTTCCACTTATATAGCTAGGGTTTTTGGTGGGCTTTTTGATGGGCCGTCTATTTTGGGCACCCAACGGAGCACCACGGGCGAAATATAGGATCCGCACCAAAACCGAAGACTTTCGGGTACCCGAAACCGCAAAACCGTGGGTGAAATTTGAGAACCAAAACCGAAAACCGCAGAACCAAAAACCGCGGATATCCGAACCGAAACCGAACCGCTGCCATCCCTACATATGATCCCTAAAATGAAGGATGTTATTCAATATTTACATGCTATCTAAGTTATATTGTTTACCCGTACATCGCACGGGATACACGACACTAATTTTTATAGATATAGTACATATTAAGTATTTTTTATATTTTATATTACAATAAAAATATAATTTTTTATTTCTTCACATTTTATTTTTTCAAACACCTTCATTGGACTTGGTATATCACAAGTACGGCTTAAAAGCCCAAAGCCCATTCATGAATTAGGTCACTTCCGAAGCAGCTTCATGTACAAATACGAGCAATAAAGATAAAGATTAGATTGTGCCTCTTTCGACAAGTTTATCTATCTATGGCTTCTTCCTTCTCACTTTGCCGATCGATTTGTCGGAAATGGTTTGCCGGAATTGCTAATTGTCCGATTGGCGGAAAATTGGTGTCTAGATCTTGTTTTTCCGCCGAATGTTGTAGGTATAGGTTGAACTCGTCGTTGGCCAAGCCGAACCCATCACCGCCCTCGTCATCTCCTTGGCTTATGCTGCAGCCTGCCTTTGACGTCGACGTTAGCGGTAGCGCAAGCAGGAGCTACAAGTTCTACAGCCTCGCCGACAACAAAATCGTAACCCGAAGTACCGGAAAGAGCAGCAAAGAAAGAGAATTAAGGAACCCTCTCATGTGCTTTAGGGGATCTTCACATGGCTGGCTAGCTTTGTACGACAAAAGTAGCCTGGACGTGTTTCTTTATAACCCAATAACCGGTGGTCATATAAGCCTCCCTCCCTTTGGCCACTTTCCTGATTACCCTCCCGCCTCAAAAATACTACAAAAGGTCATCCTCTCGTGCTCCCCAGACGAGGGATCAAATTGTCGGGCTATCATGATCTACAACAATGTAGCTGCGCTGGCTTTCTGCTGCCCTGGCTTCAGCAAGGAGTGGACCCGAATCGGAGATCACCACTGGTTTGATCAAGATTCGGGCCGGGCTTTTTTTGGGGGCTACGCAGATTGTGTCTACTCGACAAGACACGAAGCATTGTTTTGCCTCACAAGACGGGGGGGCGTGTTGGAGTCTTGGGATATTCGGGACCCTCAGTCGCCGAGTGCTGTGAAGCTAGCCGAGGTTAGTAAGGGTGGACGGTTCGGCTACCCGAGGACAGGTAAGAAGAAGTTGACGTTGACAGCAACGCATGCAAAGAATCTGGTAGTGGCCGGAGAGGATCTCCTCGTAGTGACTCAGTACGTGGTTAGTTCGTTTGACTTTGATGGTTTGTATGTTGATGGTAATAAGCTGTTTAACTACATCGAGGAACACGGCTTTCCAGTTGTGACTGTTGATTTTGATGTTCATAAATATGACCCTGAGGATGGGAAACTTAAGTATGTGAAAAGGTCTTTGGGTGGTTGGGCTCTTTTTGTCGGCCTCCACAGCGATGCAGTTGCGTTGCCCGCGGCTGACTTTCCGGAGCTCAAACCCAATTCCATTTACTTCACGGATGCATCACTTGGCGCGTCGATCGACTGTATGGGTTACCTAACTGGTGGCCATGACATTGGCATCTTCAATTATGAGAACAAGACTGTGTCGCCATGCTATTTTCCATGTGATGTTCAGAACATGAGGAAGACTTACCCAGGGCCTATGTGGTTCTTCCCAAGTCGTGAATGATGCCAATGTAAAATTTTTCGACTCAATGTAAAATTTTTCGACTCTGTCTAATTTCATCATTGTTGCATAGTTGTGGCTCCTGTCACAGGGAGAAGGAAAATGAATCAATTTCGATCCAAATGTAGGTTCGTAATGTTTTTATTTAAAAAGAAATTAGATTCATAAAATTCATCATATAACAATTAAGTGAAGATAAAAAAACTGTAATTTAATTTCATAAATTAATTGTAAAAAATACTTGTTCATAACTAGATTTGATCAACCCAAAACACCAATTTAGTGTTGACAATAAACTGATTAAATAATGGGAAATTTACATAACCAACTACACTGAAGGTTTATTTTCAGATTCATAATTGGAGGAACCTTTTATCATTTAAGGTCATTGTAGAAATATATTATCAGATTTACGAATCCTCAACCTCACCAAAACTGATGCATGAGTTCTCCCCAATTAATAAAACAAAAATTGACGCATAGCAAAAATAAAATTATCAATATAATCACCAAAAAAATGAGATTTACTATTCTGTGTTTGAGAAATTCAAATTTCAATCTATACTCAAAGATCTAGCCTTTTTTATTTTATTTATTTATTTATTTTTTTTCAGGATCGGACACGAGCTCGATTCAACAATCAACAAAAAACGAAAGAGCAATGGCTATGGAAGGTATTGTAAAAAACCCTACTAAGATCGGGACTACAGAAACGGGCGAGCCGAGGAGGAATCTGAATCCGATGAAGAACTGAAAGACTTACCTTACGAGGAGTATGTTCTTTATCTTTTGTATAACTATATGGTTAATATTAGAAAATTGTCAGTTCGTATTTACCTGGTGTATATATATTGCATATCTAAACAATATAGAATTGTCAGTTCGTGTTTATCTTTGTATATATATATATATATTGTATACCTAAGCAGTATACTGTATATCTGATTTTTTTTTACTGAAGCCGATTTTGCGAATAACAATTTTATCTGAATTTTTTCGATCCAATCCGTAATATCGAAGGAGATTTGGTAGGATTTTTTTTTTTTTTTTGAATCTTGATTGTTTTCCCGATTGCAATAAAAAAATAATAAGAAAAAAAAAATCAAAAAACACCGATGAGAATCTTCTCGTCCTTTTCCTCCTATGCGGCAATTTCAGTTTTATTAATTGGGGCGAGATTATGTTTATTTCAATGACTATCGTATATTCATAAATAAAAGTTGGAACTCGTAATTTTACAAAAAAAAATCTATTTGAGACGTATGGTGAGTAGATTTCTCTTTCTTGACCTGGCACGAGGGATAAGAGAGAAATGGAGTTTGGACTCCCCAGAAAAACATTGGCGCGCGTGTAAACGAGGTGCTCTACCGTTATCACAATCAACAACTAATAATAGTCAAATCGAGAATTTTTAGCTTGCATGATGTTTTAGGGTTTGAGGAGTTTTTTTTTTTTTTTTTTTTTTTTTTTTTTTTTTTTCAAAACAATAGAAGATTGGTAAGGAGATAAAATTAATTAAAATCAGCTTGACTGAATCAGTCATTTTACTAACTTTAACTGAAAATCTAACTCAACCTCACTATCCGCAATATTAAAATATTAAAAAAATATCAATCATATTTCTCTACATATCAACTTTAATTCACTATTTATCCATTCAATTTTTTATTCAGCTGTGGGCTGCGTTCCAAGTTGTATTTTGCACATTTGTGCGTTTGTTCTATATATATTCTCTATCGTTTCGGAAAAAAAAAAAAAAAAATCATTTCAATCGTTTCTCACTCATCCCATTCAATTAAATTTATTCTAAATAACTTGCTTTAATTCAAGATCAAATTTTGATCGATTTTATGATTATTACATTTTAAATTTTATTTAATTACAATATATCTCATTCTGTTTAATTAACTTTATTCAAAATAATCCGTCCAGTTTTGACCGCTTATCACTCACCCAATTGAGTATGCTTTGCACTTTCGTCCAATTTAGTAAACAAGTTTATTAAAAATGTTTGATGAACTAAATCAGCTCGTTCAAATTCATTAGAGTAATGTTTGTGAGCGTTTCAATAACGAACTCTCGCCATCGAACTCGTTTTAATTCGAACTTGTGAGTGTTTAAAAAATAATCGAGTTAAAAATGTTCAAATTCTTTTGAGATGTTTTGTATACAAGCCAATCACCCACCCAAGTTTGCTTTACAATTTACACTTTCGTCCAATCTAGTAAACAAGATTAAAAATGTCTGATTAACTCAATCAGCTCGTTCAAATTCATTAGAGCAACGAACGCTCGCTATCAAACTCATGTTAATTCGAACGAACGAGCGTAACTTTCTTTCAAGCTCCTCTCGATTAATAGACAAACAAGCTAGTCGAGAACACAAACTCGTCGAACAAAAACAAACTCAATCAAGCTTTTATTCGACATCATTCAATTCGTTTACAGACTATTACAGACTACCACAAATAGTCTTTTATGGGCAATGCAGTCAGTGAATTTTTTTCAATTACTTTAAAAAAAATATATATATTCTTTTGGCCACACTTGCATGCACACAGTTGCAGTTCTGCTCAATATGTTCCATGACTGATGTTCACAGAAACTTGAGACAGGTATAAATCAAAGACTAAATAATTTTGCATTTCAGATGATATTATCAAGTCTTTATATTCTGGCCCTTTACAATGGAACTCCAATTATGACACTATATACGGAACATTCCATCGAAGAAAAGTTAAAATAACAAAGAAAAAAACTTAGTTAACCAAAACCAAGATGATAAAATGATGAAAGCAATGGCCATGCTCATAATGAAATCACTCTGTATATCACCCATTAAAAACCAACACTTCATTCTGTCAAACACATAATCACCACCACTAAACTGTACAGTATTTGCGAAACGGGAAAAGATTATGTCCAGAAACCCTGCTCGACT